CTGTAAAGATAAACGGGAAACCACGCGCTTCTCAGAGTCTTTTTCTTGTCCTGTAATGACGTGTAAAGATGCTGGGAAGTAGGATCCGATGTCTCATTATGTACGAAGATCTGCGTTAATGAAAACCGTACCCTTCTTACGGGCTTTTAGGGTGTCACCACGAAGCTGTGTCACGACCTCTTCGTTCCGTTAAGGCCCCAAGCGGGCCAGGTCCCCCTCCCGGGCAGGGCTCCCCCATCTCTGTCTTTGCCCACGAGGACCTACCTTCTGGCAGCAGATGTGCACCCCTGTTTCGTGCTGATTCCAGAACCTTCTGAGGAAGGGGAGGAGGTGACAGAGCTGCACAGCCCTAATCTACTGCGATTGCAGACGCCGCTCCCCCTGGGGGGTGACCCCTCACGGGAGGACGCTCTCCAGGGGACGGTGGACGCATTCTTAGCCCAGCACCTGCCACAGCAGGTCAGCAGGAGCCGGGCGTCCAGGGCGCAGCGGGGGGGGAGGGGCCGTGTCACCCAGCGCCAGCCCCTCCCGAGCATCGCAGGGGCGTCTGGCGCACACACGGTCCTGAGGTGGCGTGACAGAGCCCACGGCCCTGGGTGCACCTCCCGTCCTTCCCGTCGGGCGCACGCGGACGACGGTCACGGGACGAGAGGGAGGAGCGGAAGGTCAAAGAGACGCGTGGACGAGTGCGGTGCGCCAGCCGGGGCGGGCGCTGGGGGGCGCTGCGGGGGGCACTGCGGGGGGCCTGTGGTGGGCAGTGTGAGGGGCCCTTTGAGGATGCCGTGGGGAGCTTGTGTGGGGCGCCCCTGGAAGGAACTACTGGAGACGTTAGTGGACACTGCGGGGGGTCCGTGGTGGGCACTGCGGGGGGCCCGTGGTGGGCACTGGGGGGGCCCACGGTTGGCAGTGCCTGGTCACCTCCCCTCCGTCAGCGTGTCACCGAGTTGTGCCCCCACCCTCCAGAGCCTGTGGGAAACGGCTTTGCCCTGAAGCGGAGGTGGGAGGGGAGGGGCCGGGCGAAGCTGGGAACTGCTCAGGTGTCACCGAGGATGCAGTGGGCCTGGCTTCCTGCCTCGCGGATGCCGCTGCAGAGCCCCCTGCTGGCTGCGGAGACCGGACGAGGGGCCGCACACGGCGCCCCAGACCTGCCTGGCCCTGTCCTGGTGTCTGCAGGTCTCGCCTCTGGCGTGGCTGCAGGTAACTCGATTTGGTGGCCGGGTCTCGTGAACACGGTCAGCAAAGCGGACAACCGCCCGGAATGACCCAGGCACAAGGTTTTCCCGTGTGACTGCCGAGTTTGGGACTACGGCCTCAGCACTGTGCTCCCCGACCGCGCGGGGCCTGTCTGGCACCGTGGGGAGCAGGGCATGGGGACACGGGTGGGAAGCGGAGCCCACAGGGGAGGCAGTGAACGCAGAGTGAGCGCATCCGGCCGGGCTCTCCCAGATGGCCTTGCCCAGCTGCGGCCCCGGCCACCGGCCTGGCCCGGGCGAGCCGGGGGAGCCGGTGCAGGCCGACCGTGCGTGCGTCCGGTCTCACAGGACCTTCGCACGAGCTGTGGTCAGGCTGCTTTTGCTTAAGGGTCGGGGGGCTCACTGCTCTGTCTTTTTCTGGACTCTGCAGCAAAACCGCCCCATAGGGGGCTGGGTTGTCACCGTGGCAGGACCGGGGTGGAAGGGGGTCTCACTGGCCACGGGGTGCAGGCGCCCACCTGCCTCACAGACCTTGCCGGGTGGCGCTGGATCCCGTCTCCCGAGAAGCACACAGTGGGCCCTTTCCTGGTCACCAGCAATGGCAGCCACTAAACGAGCCGACCAGTGTTATCACGAGGGCCCTCGAACCCAGGGGACACTGGGACAGGGGGATTTTAACCAGAGCAATTCCAAGACAGTCGCTCCAATCACAGCAGCACGGCCGGGCCCGGGGCCCTGCGGGTTCTCCTGATCACTGCTCCCTGTCACTTTGTCCTTCTGGAAGGGGAGAAGGCCCCCACTTCACGGGCGGCAGTGGACACCTCGGCCCCGACCAGAAACCCGGCGGGACGGTCCTTCGCTATTAATCAGAAAAAACAACAGCTCAAGAAAACACCGAAACGGTGCCATTACTCCCAACCACTTGGGAGCGAGAAGCCACCTGCTGTCACACCGGCGTCCCTTTGCGGTGACCTGGGATGACACACGCCACGGCCCGCAAGCAATGAGGAGGAGTCACGTTGCAAAGTCGGCACCTCCTCCTTCAACGTCACGGGCACCAGACACGCACAAACCGGCATCACACTGTCAAACCCCAGCCGAACGTCCGCTTTACACGGCTTGGCGGCTCAGGACACCGAGAACGGTCAAGGTCACCTAACGAGACGCCGAGACTTAAAACGGTAGCCGTGTTTCTGTCTCTGGCCTTTTAACGGATTCACGTGTTAACAAAGAATCAACATCTAAATAGACCTTTATTTTTTTTTTTCTTTTACTTATTTGGACAGAAGAGAAAATTCATCGGCGTTCAGGAGTCTCCCGAAGTGCTGGAAACATTAAACTCAGAAATAGTGGACCTTGTAGAAAAGCATCACAAATTAAAAATATATTTCTCCATGTGGTAAAAGTGCTTGAGACCCAATCAGGTGCTGGGGACACAACTCGACACGTGGCCCGCGGTCCGTGGCACCGGATGAGAACCGAGGACGAGGCCTGTCATCGTGAAGCGAGGGCGCGGGGACGGGTTCGCGAGCATGCTGCCGCCCACGGGCGACCTGAGTGTGGACACGGACGAACGTCCCGAAGCCTGAGTAGGATGGAGTCTGCGTTTGTAAAAACGAGGGGCCGTGTAAGTCGGGGCGCAGGGGGGGTCGTGTAACTCCAGAAATGACTTATGTCTGATCTGTGGGGACAGCCAGACCAGCCGGCCACTCCAGCTGGGGCTCCCGCGGAGACACGTGACCGTGCTTCAGAACGGGCCCCGATGTTTTTTGGGGGACTAAGCGGAGCCCTCGCTGCCAGCTGCTCGTCACGCTGTCCCGTCCGTCCTGCGGTGAGCTGGTTCCCGCCCCACGGGGCGTCACGCAGCCACGCCAGTGGCCCATCCGTGCGGGGCTCGAGTGCCAGCCACGGTGTCCCAAGGACCAGGTTACTGGCCCCCCACGAGGGGAAGAGAATCAGCAGGTGGTCACCCGTGGAGAGAATTTGCTGTTTGTTTCAGCAATGCTACATATTTTTTTAAAACAAGTAATTTTGCCGATGAGAACCTCGTGAGGAAGCGGAAGGCCCGTGGGCCCCCGGTGGCCACGGCTGTGGTGGTTCTGGGAACGAGCCCCCTCCCCGGCCTGGCACAGAGCGCGGCCTGCGGGGGCGGGAGGCTGCGGGCGGGACCGGGGAGGGATGGGGGAGCCGTAAGCAACAGTAAGAAAATAACCTGAAGATAGATTTAAAAATAAAAAACAGCGTCGCACGTCACTGCGGTTCCGTGGGCGGCTCCGTTGTGTCCCGTCCGCCAGCCGAGCGGGACGGAGCGGGAACACCTCGCTCACGACTCACACGCCCGCCGTTCCTCGCCGTGCTCCCTCTCCCACGAGGCCTGTTCCACGCGGCTCGCGTGGGGCAAACTCTGGAACGCCCTCGGGTCTCCAGCACGCTCCGGAACAGTCTTAGCCAACCGTCGCTTGCTTCCGGTCACCTGGGGACACGGCACGAGAGGAAACCACGTCACAAAAGTGTTGACGTCTTTGCCGAGCGGGCCCTTCCAGCAGCACGTGCTGTGGCTCGTCCTGTGTCTGGGGCCTTCGGCGGCAACAGGCGTCCCAGGTCCCCGGGGCTCAGAGCCCAGCTCTCCTGCTGGCTCCCGGGGGTCGTGAGGGTGCAGCACCCACTGAGCGGGACAGACGTACGGCAGCACAGGCCTCAGGCGGCAGAGTCTGGTGTGGCACCCCCGCCTTGCGGAGTGGCACCACGAGGTGGGTGGCCCCTTCCCAGAGGGAGGCCATGCTCCTCTCTGAACGGACATCGGGACGGTGGCCACGTGACCAGGTCCGTCTGTCCCTGCAGGGGCCGAGGGCACCCCTCCCCGGCGGCCACACGGAGCGACTCGGGCTGTGGCGGGCGGGTCCTCCCTCTGCGTCCCGCTCCACCTGCGCCTCACCTGGCCGCCGCATCAGTGGGCCGGGGAGGCCTCCTCCAGGCCCAGCAGCTCCCTGACGAGTCTGTCCCCGAACTGCGCCCGGCTGTACCTCTGCACGTGGTAGGCGTCCGACATCTTGTACAGGATGTAGGCGTTGTTGACGGCGATGCTCACGGCGAACCAGAACACCTGCTGCCAGGTCTTGTTTGGTTTGTGAGAAATGAAGTACCTGGGAGGACAGAGGCAGGGAGGGGCTGACCCGGCGGCCCCTGGACCTCCCCGAGGTCGGCGGTGGCCGGCCTGCTGAGGCGGTCACGTGATCTTTCCTTAGGACAAAGATGAGGAAGACCCCCATCACAGGATGGGGGGACAGTGCGGCCAGGCCTTCCGTGGAGAGGCTGCCCCCTGGGGCCGCGCAGAGCCCCCCACCACCCCCACCTTCTCTTCACACCGAGGACAGAGCTCTTCCAGGGCCCATCCGGCTCGGGGTCCCCCCGGTCACGTCCTCCGCGCACACGTCTGTCCCCGCCCCCCGAGGGCCGCATCGCAGGCGCCCAGCGACGTCACCAGCTAACGCCGGTTTCTGTGCGGGGCCTGCGTGGGGCTGGGCGCGGTGCCAACGCCGCCATCCCGGGCGGCCGCTGGAGCGAGGCCACGCCCAGCGCACCTGCGGGGACTGCGTGACCAGCGCTGGCAGGCGCGGGGCTCGTGCGACACGCCGGGGGCTGCCAGCGGGTGTGGACGAGGAGGCCGGTCGGGGCTAGTGCGACACCAGAGGCACCTTTGGGAAGGCGCAGCGAGGGCAGAGGGCCTGGCACCCCGAGGGGAGGGGAGGCCACGCCAGGGCGCAGGCCGTCACCCCTCAGGCCTGCGGCTGGGAAGGCCCCTGACCACCCGCCAGCCCCTCCTGCGCCGGCGAGGCGGCGGGAGCCACTTACCTGCTGTACTTGTCGTCATACTTGCAGATGTAGCTGAGGTGAGCCGCGAACGCCTCCACCGCCAGGGGGCAGGGGATCCCCACGTTCTTCCTCTTGATGATCACTCCTGGGGAGACCGGGGGTCAGGCCCCGCCCCGCCCGCAACCACCCCCTCCCAGGGTGCGCGGATGCGCCCTGGGGGTGCGGCGGCCGCGGCCTCGCGTTCCCCACGTCGCCCCAATGGGCTCAGCCCGGCCGAGTCCTGCGCCCACGTGCTGTGCTCCCATCTGTCCCGTGGGATTTGAACGCTAAGTGGGCAGATGACAGACTCGATGGACTTCAGAGGAAAAGCAAAAGCATTTGCTTCTCGGTGGGACGTCCCCTGCCACGTGGCAGCGCGCAATTTTTAAAAAGCCTGTGCGTGCGCTTACTCTGGAGGTTCATTTTCCCTTAGAATCTGCAGTAAAGAATAACAAACCAATTCCCCAAATGTTTGTAACTAGTTCCACGTTTCCTAAGATTGGAAATTCTGTTCAACTTTTAGCAGCGTATACGTGGTCACAGCAGAAGGGAGTGTACGGCTGAGAAGCAGTCCTTAGAATACATGAGAGTTTGCCATCTGGGTGGCATTTAAAATAAGCAGAGAAAGTAAAATTTATTCGGTAAATGGCTCAGGCGTGACGGGGACTGTTTGATCAACCAACCCTTGTCACGTGACAAAAGGTCAGCAGAAGTCCAATGGACGCCACGCACCAAAGTGAGCTCAAAGTGGATGACGCTGAATGGGACAAAATCACCGTATAAACCAAGGTGAACTTCACGCACCTGCCGAGACACACACACAACACACACCCTCGTGGACGCACACACACCCTCGTGGACACACACACACCCTCGTGGACGCACCCACCTTGCTGCAGGGGCGAGTAGGCGTTGGTCAGGAAGCGGAAGTGCCCCTTGTTGTACCAGCAGATCAGGGACATGCTGCCCTTCGTGCGCACGCGGTGCTGGCCGCGGGCCGGGGGCGTGGCCGGGCTGGCCAGCATG